GCTTATTATTTGTATTAATCTATTTAGTTTCTACTTGCTTGAATTTGAATTAATTCTTCGAAAAAGTTTTAATAACCAATTCACCCCCCTCTTGGTTAGTTATTCTTGGGCTATCACAAACAACGTATGTGTGCACTTTGCTTTTCAACTTGTCTGTGCCAATCTCTTGCTCAAAACTTTGTTTCTTCTACAGTGAATTTCTCATTTGGCACTTGAAAAGTTATATTGATTAATTCTAAATGGTGTATTAATTTTATGCTGGGTTGTGTGATGCAGAAGAGCTGGTGATTGGCCTATCTCGCGTGACATGGGAAAAAGTAGATGTCAGCTTCCACAAGAGCAAGCTTAAATTTGCTGCACATAGTATTATTCAGGTCTCTCTCCCCTACCTTCCTCCCTCCTGCTACATTTCTACATGCTTGTATATGTTATTGTTTGCATGCATGATACGTGCATGTCCGCCATACAGAGAATACTGTAAACATGAACGAATTTAGAATCGGACTACAAGCCGGGCTAATACGTAAAAAAAAAAAATTACACGTGAATTTTTTTTTTTTTTTTACATAAATTTTTTTTAACACCAAAAAAATGAAGTGAGCTGGAGACTGAACCGGGCTACGGTATGGCCTGGCCCAGTCCCCCCTACATACGTCCCTGACTGTAGACGCTTGGGAACAATGAGGCTGCTATCTCTTGCCGGAGATGGAATGTTTAACTCCATCTTCTATTATGATAGAAATTCCTTTTATTTACTTCCACTAAGATATTAGTGCAATAACGAGTCAAACCTACTCGATGTTGTCAGCGTTCTGGACCATGTGTAATTTTTTTTGACAGTAGTTTGCACAAGTTTTACTTAGTCTCTGTTTGATACACATTCTTTCAAAATATATTATTTCAAAAATCATTTTCAACCACACATTTTTCAATAAAATAATATTTTACATCACATCAATAACTTTTTATTACTTTTTAACCACATATTTCTCATCATATTACTATTTAAAATACATTACTTTCTCAATAATATCCATCAAACACGCCCTTATATAGCAGACAACATTTCCATCTTTAGGCGGATGTGGAATCCTGCAATCCCATACCCTTTGGAGGGCCAGCATTCTTGCTGGCACGACTCTGGACTGACTATTGAAATCTGATATCATTCTGCAACAACCCATCAAACCTAAATGACGTTGTTAGGTTTTAGGCCGTGTGACGATCCATCCCTATTCTGCTTCCACATGGAAAAAGCCTCCATAGTCGTGGCACAAATCTTGCATGTAGAATACAGAAACATTTACTTCTCCTGGAAAAGTAGGATTCTATAATTGGTGTAGTTCCATTGGTGACACTTTATGAGGATGATTGCGTGAGGTCTCTGGTAGGATACTGTGTGGCAGTAGTGGCACAAGTCTTGCATGTAGATGCACAAACATTTACCATTAGTGATACTTTATGAGCAGGACTGCATGAGGTCTCTGGTAGGATACTGTGTCGCATGGCATTCACTTTGGGAGTTGGATCCCATCTTTAAGTCTTACTCTTCAGGTCTTCTGTTTCGCGTTAGTTGATGTGTGCATTCCAATCTGTATTTCTTAATCTGATGCACTGTCTTTTTCTTTCTCCTTCATTACTGTATCTTGTCGAGTATTCAAATAAGATGCTGATTCTTGGTCGCGTCTGAAAATTATTCAGGTAAAAGAGCATCACATGCATACTGAAGGTGCAGATGTCATCCAACATATGATTGACCATTTTCTTCTTTAGGAGTGTCATCTCCGAGAATGCATGACGATTAAGGTAATGCATGCATATGGTTGCCCATTTTATGGAAAACTACTGTCATACGGGAATTCTTGATTCAATATCTTCCTATATGTAACGAAATACTTTTTATAGATGAAAATATTTCATTGAAATCTGTTTAAATTTTTGTAATTCTTTATTGCTTTCCACTTGCATCCCTCTTTATATTTAGAGATCTTGGTCAAACCAAACCTTGATAAATTGTTTACAGCTTATTTAGGTGGAACATACATATCTAATTTTGGAATATTTAAGGTGGTGGAGGTGGTTGTAGATTTGAGGTGAAGATGGGTGGTGGTGGGTTGTGAATTGAGGTAGCGATAGTGATTTGGTTGGTGTTAGTGGTGGTGGTGAGGTTGTATGAGATAAACAGTGATTTTGAGCCGTTAATTTATCATCAGATTTTTGAAATATTTTTGCAAGTTTCTTAAATGTAAAATTGTATACTTGTAATGATGTATTTTCCCTTTTTTCTTTCCTCAAACTTTATCTTGGGCTATAGCCCAATTTTGACCCAAAAGGCTAGCCCTTGTTTGACATCCATTTTGGAGAAAAATTTGATTTAGAATAGTGATTGATAGAAGAATGTGTGGTTAAAAAGTAAGGAGAATTTTTGAGTTTATCTGTAATATTATTTTATTAATAGAATCTGGTTGAAATGAAGAAAAAAAATGAGAAAGTGAATGAGAAAAAAATGGATGTCAAACAAGTTGGCAAAAAAGTTTGTACGTAACAAAATAACATTTAAAGATAATAATGAAGTTCCCATAAATGATAATTAAGTAAATTGTCTTAATAAATTTAATTTATTTCTAAAAATTCAAAGCAATTAAAATATAAAATTAAATATCTTCAAAAAAATTTGAATAATTTAAAAACAATTCAAGATTTTGAACGAGTTTTAAATTAATAATATTAAAAACAAATAATAGTAAAGTTAACTTTATGACATTTCATCAATAAAGGTAATAAAAATATAAAAATCAAAGTTGGGAATAGAATAATATTACAAAAAAATAACTTATCCTTTATTATTATTATAATAATTAATTAACTTATTGTCGGTATTTTATAATAAAAAATACAAAATAAACTTTTATTGGTATTGATGATATCAAGTTTCCTGTAGACAAATAGGATCGAATCATCATTGGTGATTGGCCATATCATCACCAATGACATTTTTTTTGTCGATAATCGTCAACAAAGGTATGTCGATAATCTTCGACGATATTGTATTATGTCTAAATTATTGACATAAATTGATTTATGTTGAAATTAGTGACTCTGATGTCGTTGACAATCACTGACTAAATTCTAATTAGTGATTATTTACTCAATTTATTTT